GGCAGCAGGCTGGTGGTGAAGAACGGCTCACCCAGGAGAAGAGAGACCTGGTGATCAGGGCAAGAAGCAGGACTCAGGCATCAAAAGGGCTGAGCTGAGGGGTAAAGGCAGGTCACAAGTTTTATAGGCCATTCGTTCATTCACTCAGTCAACAAGCAAGCATGCCAGGTATATACTTGCCCTTGAAGATACAAAGAAGAGAAACAGATATGAGTGCAGAGTGCAAGAAACAAATAGGAAGCTGTCCTCACCTGACAGGCAGAAGGAAGGAAGGGGTGCACCGAGGGACCCAGAGATAAAAACACCAGACAGGGCCTCCAGAGTAGCATCCTGCACATCCCCACTTAAAGCTTTATCTCCCCCACTTATCAGTGCTTGCTGCAGGGTCTCTGTCACCAGGCTCTGTGCACAGCCCCAGTGGGGATGCTGACAGCACAACCCCCCTCCCCCCCCGCAAAGTGCCTGGCCCAGAGAATATGTTCAGTGAGGCAAAAGCAAGGTCCTCTGGGGCCCCCACATGTGTCAGGTAAGTGTGCGTGGGGTGCGCAGAAGCCAGACTACCCAAAGACAGTTGAGGGCCTGTTAAGGGAGCTGGACTTGTCCTGGAAACAAAAGCAGAGCCACTGACAGCTTTTATCAGTTTAAAATAAAATGGAATGTGATTCAGAAGGTCCCTCTAAGGCATGACATGGGTGGAAAACAGCCCTGCATACACACCCTGCACCTGACCCTTGCACTGGACACAGGGTGAGAATGCCTGTTCTCATAAATTCTATTCCACAGGATCCTAAAGTCTAGCCAGGACACTACATAAATGGCTTACAGAATTATCTTCTAGACTCTCAGCTATGAGGGGGTAAAAAAGGCAACTTGTAGACAAACGTTTACAGCAGCATAATATACAACAGCCCTAAAAGAGAAACAAACCAAATGTCCATCAGCTTATGAATGGAAAAATAAATCTGGTATGTCCATTTGATGGACTATTATGGACAATTTGAAGGACAATATTTGAAGGACAATATCAAAAGATACCAAGAAACTAGAACCCTCATATTGCTGATGGGGATGCAGAATGGTACAGACACGAGGGACAATAGTTTAACTTTTTACAAAGTTAAACATAATTACCATACAATCCACCAATTCCATGACTAGGCATATGCCTAAGAGAACTAAAAACATGTATCTTCAGGGTGGCACCTATGGCTCAAAGGAGTAAGGCGCTGGCCCCATATACTGGAGGTGGCGGGTTCAAACCTGGCCCCAGCCAAAAACTGCCCCCCACCCCCGCCAAAAATTCACACACTGGCTGGGCTAGATGGCTCATGCCTATAATCCCAGCACTCTGGGAGGCCAAGGCAGGTGGACCATTTGAGCTCACAAATTCAAGATAAGCCCGAGGAAGAGTGAGACTCTGTCTCTAAAAAACAGCCAGGCACTGTGGGTGACACATAATCCCAGCTACTTAGGAGGCTAAGGCAAGAGAATCCCTTAACCCAAGAGTTTAAGGTTGCTGTGAGCTATGACGCCATAGCACTCTACCAGGGACAAGAAAGCGAGACTCGGTTTCAAAAAACAAACAAACAAAAAACCCCTCACACACCCATCTTCACCAGTGTTATTCAAAATAGCCCCAAACTGGAAACATTCCAAATGTCCATAACCAGGTGAATGGATAAACAAAATGTGCACAGCTACACAACGGAGCACTACTCAGCATTAAAAAGGAACAGGATGCTGATGACATTTTACAACATGGATGAACCTCTAAGACATTATGTTCAGAGTAAGGAGCCTGACACAAAAAACCACGCAATGCCTAAAGTGTTCAGAAAAGGCAAATGCATGGAGACAGAAGCCAGATCAGTAGCTGCCAGACCCTGGGAGTGAGTGGTGTGCTGAATGGCTCCTAGGGACTTTGGGTGATGGAAATGTTCTAAAATGAGATTAGGTGACACTTGAAATGGATTCATTTTATGGTATGTCAATTACATCTCAGTAAAGCTGTTATCTAAAAAGAAAGGCTGGTTGGAAAGATGAAAGATAACAAGCTCTGTTTTGAAGGAGTCCAGTTCCAAGGGCTGTGGGATAGTCAAGGAAAGATAAAGATAAAACATTTGAATCCACAAAAGGTGAAGAGTAAAGACCAACTCTGTTGGTCACTGAGGGAGGGGATGGAGATGGAGGGAGGGACCAGGGAGAGCACCAAGAACAGCAGCATGAAGAACTTCAAGGAGGAGTAGCCAGAAAGGCCACAGGAGAGGAACTGGGGAAGAGTCTCTCGAGAACAGAGGGAGAGGTCCACAGGGTCGCAAGGGCCAAGGCCGTGGAGTAGATAAAGCCCACAGGGAGGCCACTGCTAGTACAAGATCACTAGTGGGAGCAGTTTCAGGGCTTGGAAGACCACCTGAACTAGAAGATATGAAGGGAAGATGAAGACAGAGGATAGCAAAGAAAATAGAAAAGAGAGTGGTGTGCCCTGCTCCAACAAGTCCTAATAGAGCTGCTCAGCCCTGCCTTGGAGCAGAGATGAGCCCCAGTTAAGACTAATACAATTGGCTCGGCGCCTGTGGCTCAAGCAGCTAAGGCACCAGCCACATACACCTAAGGTGGCGGGTTCAAATCCAGCCCGGGCCCGTCAAAGAACAATAATGGCTGCAACCAAAAAATAGCCGGGCGTTGTGGCGGGCGCCTGTGGTCCCAGCTACTTGGGAGCCTGAGGCAGGAGACTTGCTTGAGCCCAGGAGTTGGAGGTTGCTGTGAGCAGTGAGGCCACGGCACTCTACCCAGGGGCTCAGCTTGAGGCTCTGTCTCAAAAAAAAGAATAGTACAATTATTTGCTTACTGAGCAGCTCCACAAAAGTCCCCAGCTGACAAGATATGTGGAGGACTCAACATGAGACCCAGAAGACAGTGGGGTACTTGGGGCTACCTCAGTGCTGCACTGCCCATGCTATCACTGCCACAGTGTCACCGCCAGGCTCCTGCTACTCACCTTTTTGCCCTCCAGGTCTGCATTCTTTAGTAACTCTGGCCGTTTCTCTATGATATTAATTTTATCTTCCAACTGGTTAGCCTTGAAGATCTTAGAAAGAAAACAACAAAATTACTATATTTATAATATTGTTTTTGTCTAGGAAAAAAACATCTCTCAAAGTAACATTATCTACTTCAGGTTTTCTGGCCAAATAGTTCTGAAGCAGCACTTTTATCTGCTCTATGGAAATTCCCTCCCATGCTACCCCAAGTTGCATCCTATGTAGACCAAGGATGAGGGCACTGGCAAAATGTAGAAACAAAAGAAATTTCTCCTGCAGGCACATGGCAGGACTTAGCCCAAGCCTACAGTTCCCCTTCAGAAAGGAAATCAAAAAACCAATCACTGGCCAAGGGGAGAAGTAAACACCATCTCCAATTATGCCATAAGCCGTGAGTCCCAGGGCACTGATGTCCCAGAAACACCTCATACATCCTGTGCTACCACTATGGAGATTTTGTTTTTCATAGTTTTACGTGAAGTGAGGAGAAAAGCCTAATTCTTCAACCACAAAACACAAAGCAGAGTACAAGTGTCCCCTTCTATCTCAATGACAGCCCTAGAAACTTTCTGAGCCACTCTCTAGGCAGGAGCCAAGACAACAGAGAGCAGCTCCTGCTGGTGGCTGCCACTGCCTATCCCCTTTCCCTCACTGCTGATGCCACTTCAAAGATACCAATCCCAGACTCAGAGAGGAAGGTCCCTTAGGTCTCATTATTTCAGCAACAATTATCACTTACTTTTTTCATCAGCTTATGAGAAGCTGCTGAACTCTCAATTGTAAATACCTAAAGAGAATACCACACTGTTAGTTCTAAGAGATTCACTTAACAGAGGAAGAAATTAAAGATTAAAATGTGGCAAGATCATTCTGAGACAGAGGGCACAACTAAACGCTACCTGTGCTCAGTCCATACCTGGAACAGCACCCACACCACACACTGCCCCCAGCAGAACCCATGCGCAGCTCCACAGTGGGCACCACTGCCTGACCATGCAGGGAAGAAACCCCTCAGCCCCTGAGCCAAGCATGCTGTGCATATGACAGTGGCACCAGTAAAGAGCTTCAAATGCACAACTGTGTACAGGGACCCCCTGGGGAAGCTGACAGAAAGGCACTGGTCCAGTACCTGCTCTGCCCCGAGGTGGTGGGCCAGTACGGAGAGCAGGCTGCCATCGCTGATGCAGAGGCACACACTGCCAGGCTTCAGCACCTGCAGGAGAAGAGCAGCCTCAGCACAGGGCTTCTCAGAGTTGGTCAGAAGATTCCTGGTGGTGAGCTGCAAAAGTGCTTCCCTGCTCCTGGACTGCTCTCCCAGATTCTAGCAATGAAATCTGATCTTTTCCTCAGTCCACCTTCCCCGTCACAGAGCTTCACAGAGCTGGATCGTCCTGTCTCCATGTGGCCATGATTGCCACCCAGGCCTCCGCAACCACCCCACCCTCATGAGAAACTTTCAACCCAGGAAAGCCTGCCCCACCCACAGGGGGCCACCTCCCAGTGTATGACAATGACAGGCATCTCTGCTGGCAGCACAGACAGCTATAGACCTGCCACTTGAGGCTCCAGTGTTCTCAAGTCATTCTCTAAAGGTAGAGGTTCCTTTATGGGCCACAGAGCCCTTTGAGACAAACTTAGGAGGGCCTGGATATTTCCCCACCACCCAAAATGCATACACATGCGCGCATGCACACATATTTCTGTACACACCTCCGAGAGTCCCCTTTCCACACCCTGCCTGTGGTCCCCAGGCTGAGAGTTCCCTGCTACAAGCATCAGAGAGCAAAAGTTTACAGATAGGAGAGTTACACAGTCAGATTTACATTTTAGGAAATTTTAGAAAGGTGACAATAGATACAAAAGAGGAGAAAGGGTGGCTGAATCCACAGGGGTCATCTACACCAATTACTGGTGGCCACAATGGCAAAGGCAGGACAAATGAGGGGCTGAGGGAGGCTCTCACAGGCCAGCAGACAATAAGCCCTTCAGGAAGTCCAGTGACAAGCTCTCCAGGTTGCTGCTCAAGTGCCCACTCCAGAGGAGCTAGCTGCAGCCACTCACAGTCAAGGAACACAGAAAACAAAATTGGCAAATCATAAGCAGAGTATTGGGGCCCACAGGACAAAGGGCTTCTTTCCCACAGCCACCTAAGGGGCTGGACACTTACGGTCCTCAGGGCCTGGACATATTGATCAGTTCGGCTCTGATCATTGATCTCTCCAAACCGAGGCCGGTTCCAAAGCAGGTGAGCCTGGCAGTCGCACACAGGGCGCATCTGGTGGACTTTGCTGTTCTTTTCAGGGCTGGGCGAGGAAATGAATGTACAGACACAGGTAATGAGCATATCCCTGGGTCTCCAGCATGAATCTGGACTGTGGCTCTTGAAGCTAAGAGGTCAAGAGGCCTCTGAAGCTTAAGAGGTTAGAGGGACCTCCAATTCAACACTGTTCGAGCCCGTCTACTCTAAACAGAATCCAGCAACACATGACAGCCTCTTCTGAGTACACACAAACCAGCAGTGACACATCCGGACACAAACTTTTGTTCTTATTTTATTCTGTTCAGATATAAGTTGGCCCACTCACACTTCTATGGGGTCTACTCATGGGGAATTTACATAAATGCACTGTCTCAAAAGCCCTGTCCTCCAGCACAACAAGCTTAGGCATACCTGGTCCTCTGCAGGCTGTACCACACACAGTAGTCATCGTGGTGGGCTACCAAGCAGAGGGCTGAGCCCTGCACAACGGGTTCCTCTTCTGGCAGGAAGTACACACACTGCATCCAGTGGTCCCGCCACTGAAATGGGGAAGAGACTCAGCTGTCACCAAGCTGTAACAAAAGCAATGCTTCTAATCCAGGAGCCAAATATGTTTTCAGGGAGTCCATGATGTAGACTATAGTGGCTACTGTGACCAGTTATCAAAAGAAAATCTCAAATCAAGCCAGAGGCCCAAGAGCCTGCCAAAACCCTGCTGGCTTTAGGAAGACACAATGTGGCCAAGGTACATTGCGAAAGGCAGTGGCCTTTCCAAGTGGCTCAGGGGAGGAGACAAGTATAGGTTCTAGCCCCTACCTGACCAGAGCAGCAACAATGCTCTCTCTCTGGCATGCTGTGGTGTGGTTGATGTTTCATTTGAAGGTAAAAACAGATTTTACAGGGCAGTGCCTGCGGCTCAAAGGGATAGGGCGCCGGCCCCATATACCGGAGGTGGTGGGTTCAAACCCCCCCCAGATTTTATAGCTAGTAAGATCTGAAGGGGACCCCATTTTATATACAAGGTGGCCATAAAGTTCATGTGCTATTTTATTTTATTTATTTTTAGAGATGGAGTCTCACTTTACCACCCTCAGTAGAGTGTCGTGGCATCACAGCTCACAGCTCACTGCAATCTCAACTCCTGGGCTTACGTGATTCTCTTGCCTTAGCCTCCCGAGTAGCTGGGACTACAGGTGCCCGCCACAACGCCCAGCTATTTTTTTGTTGTTGTTGCAGTTCGGCAGAGGCCAGGTTTGAATCCGCCACCCTTGGAATATGGGGCCGGCACCCTACCCACTGAGCCACAGGCGCCGTCCTCATGTGCAATTTTATTTTATTTTATTATTATTATTTTTTTAAATCCATTTATTTTTTAATTTTTTAATTTTTTTTTTTTTTTTGCAGTTTTTGGCTGGGGCTGGGTTTGAACCCACCACCTTCAGCATATGGGGCCAGTGCCCTACTCCTTGAGCCACAGGCGCCGCCCCCTCATGTGCAATTTTAAATCGCACACTATTTTAAATTACACAGGAACTTTATAGCCACTCTATGTGTGTATATGTATATATAGGTAGGATATACATATGTATGTATATAGATAGATAGGATATATATATGTCCATATACATATATATGTAGGAGATAAGACAGATACAGATATATAGATGGCCCCATGGGACACATTCCAAAAGCTTTAACAACTAGACTTTTGCCTTGTAATTTCAAAATATAATGCATTAAACTTAACTGGGTCCTAGATGGAGGATAACAAAAGTTATTATAAGATGTGGACAAAAATAATGTATTTTGGACCATGTGTTAGATGACAATATGGAATCACTGTCAATTTCTTGGTGTGATAATGGTATATTGCTTACACTAGAGATTTTTCATTCATAGGAGATACAAGTTGAGATATTTAATAGTAAAATGTCACATGTCTGTAACTTCTTTTCTTTTCTCTCTCTCACTCTTTTTTTTTTATTGTAGAGACAGGTTCTCACTATGTTGTGTAGGCTGGTCTTGAACTCTTGGCCTCAAGTGATTCTTCCACCTCAGCCCTCCAAAGTGCTGGGATTCTAGGCATGAGCCACTGCACTAAGCCTGCATCTTACCTTCAAATAATTCAGCAAAAAACTGTGTGTGTGTGTATGTGCGTGTGTGTGTCTGTAGACAGAGACAGAAGGGGGAGGCAGAGAGAGAGAAAGCAAATGTTAACTGATAAATTTAATTAAAAGGACTATTTGTGTTCATTTTTACTTATTCTGTAGATTCACAATTTTTCAAAATAAAAAGTTGGGAAAATAGTATGAAAGGTTTTGTTTGGTTTAGTCCTTTGGATTAAATGGAGTTGTTAAGGCCCTGCAACAACACTCTAAATTGTGAGACACAGTTTACAAAGATCCAGAGTCAATTTAATAAGCTGTGCTGATTGCTACTACAAACGCCACATACGACAAAACTCATGCACTTGGAAAGAGACCAGAGAACGGTTGTTATTTTGGGTGGTAGGACCACAGTGATAGGATTCTATCTTTAAAACAACCCACAAAAACTTAAAAAGGAAAAAGACTACGTTCACATAAATATGCAAACCTCAGAATTATTTATACTAGAAAAACCTGGAATCAGCCCAAATGTCCAGAAGCTCAGAAATAGATATACAAATCCTTATGCAGAGTACTCACAGACATTAAAAATGATGGCTATGGTACAGAATGAAATAAACACAGCACTGGAAAAACTCATGCACTTGGAAAGAGACCAGACAAAGGTTGTTATTGTGGGTGGCAGGACCACAGAGATTTTTAATTTATTTTTGTTTTACAGAATGAAGTTTATCACTCTATAACAGCGCTTCTCAACTGTCCTAATGCCGCAACCCTTTTTTTTTTCTTTGTAGAGACAGAGTCTCACTTTGTCACCCTCGGTAGAGTCCCGTGGCATCACATAGTTCACAGCAACCTCCAACTCCCGGGCATAGGTGATTCTCTTGCCTCAGCCTCCAGAGTAGCTGGGACTATAGGCATCTGCCACAACACTCAACTATTTTTTTGTTGCAGTTTGGCCAGGGCTGGGCCTGAACCCACCATCCTCCATACGTGGGGCCAGTGCCCCAGCCACTGACCCACAGGCGCTACCCCTGCAACCCTTTAATACAGTTCCTCATGTTGTGGTGACCACCAACCAAATAAAATTATTTTCATACACCTGTATTTGTACAGGGTGTATGTGATGGTTTTAGGCAGGGTTGTTCAACCCCCAAAGGGGTCACTGACCTACAGGTTGAGAACTGCTGCTCTATAATCTGTAAGCCTCTTTTTAAAAAAGAAGACCTGTCCTAAAAGGTAGATGCCTGGCTCAACTCATGAGACCACCACCTACACATTCTCTGTCATCTTCAGGAACTAAAGAAAGAAAATTTGGCCACATTAAGACTCCTACAGCCTGGCTTAGCACGTAAGAAATCATCCCACCTGCCTGGCCTTGAATTGAACAAAAAGGCAGGTAAATAACATTCCCATGTATTTACGATGCCTATTTGAACATAAAAATAGAAAATAAAAATCCAACTAAATATGCTTTGGAAAAAATAAACAGAAACAAAGAAGATAAAATAGGTTCTCTTAAATCTGTTATTCATTCCCCCACTATCCCAATTTAGATTTCACAGATCCTGCTGTGCTCCTATGGTACTTCCCTGTCATCAGTCCTTCCCACACTCGCCACCACAGGGGGGTTC